GGATGTGTGCGTGTGTGTGTGTGTGTGTGTGTGTATATATATATATATATATATATATATATTATGTATTGAAACATACCATTAAAGTGGACTAGAAATCTACAAAGAAAAGTGAGTCTCACAAAGATTCTCTAGTCATTTTTTCTCGTGTACTTTCATACTTGCAAGTCACGTAGCATAACTTACCCACTCATAATTAAATAATAATAATAATAATGAAAGTTAAGCATTCAGTACAAAACGTGCATCCGTCCCTATACAGGAAGAAACAGAAGAAACACTAAACAAATTAATGACAACAATTATAACACCAACTCAAAGCATGAACAAGATCGTGGGAAGGAATGACATGCTGACCGCACCATTCCAGACATATTCACATGTAAAAGCCCGAGATTGTGGATCTTGGAAAAGAAGAGGAGGAGGCAGATTGTGCAGGCGAAGCTATTCTGTCTTTGCACAGCGTTTCTCAAGCCAAGAGAGGATATTATCGAGTACAAGATTTATTGTTTCGTCAGGTTCGCCTTCAAGAAGAGAATGGCATGCATCTTTGTAGATTAAAATTTCTTTGTCAGAGCTGCTTGCCTTCTCATATAGAGCCTCGCTCACGGAGCAGTCAGTCAATACATCTGCCTCACCATGTAGAATCAGCAAAGGCAGAGATACCTGAGCGAACGGTGAGGTTATCATGCCATATAATAAAGATGGAAGATTTACATACATACCGCTCAATTCCTATTTATTTACATATTTAACACCTAAAATTTAATTTTAACATGTATGCCACCTTACCTATGCATGAGAAGATGTATTTCACTTTTTAAAAGTTAAATTGATGGAATTTTTATGTAGAATGAAAGATTTGAGTGATATAAATGTATAAAATAAGGTTCAAATGTCAGAAATGTAAAATTGAGTGCAATGTAATCAAATGCTGTGAAGAAAATTTGTAATACATAAGCTGATAAATTGCACAAAGATCCATGTGTTTTTATATCACAGAACATCGGGTCTATGTTTAATTAACTCAAATGGGTTCCATTTTCTACAAAGCTAGCATAGAGGCGCAGCAAGGACGAGCACAAGGGAATTACCTGTGAGCTGATAAATAAAAAGGACCCATCACAGGTTAACTTGATGCTTGCTGGCAAACACTAGATGAATGTCTAGGCACTCATAGGGAACTCCCTATGCATGACAGTCTCAACAATAGGGGTCTAACAGAGCGAACTTAAGTGAGCCTAAGGCTTGTTCGTGTTATGCTCGACCGTTAATATTTTTTTTCATGTGTGGGCTCATTTTTTAAATAGCTCGTTAATAATTTGCTTATGTTCGGTTTGATTCAAATTTGTTTTTTCATATTAAGCTTGTGTTCGGCTAGAATTTAATTCGCTCAAGTCCAAAAAATATGATTAATTAAATTATTATTATCAAAATTAAAAAAAATTATTTCACTTGACGCATTTCGGATGCCACACATCTGCATCGTTGAGTTTTCTTGGAAGAAAATTCCTTCCTTCCCTCTTTCATAAAGCTTTTTTCACAAATAATTTGTCATACATTGAATGTGAGACTAAAGGTCCCCATTGTTCCGTCCTTTCCGCTGTGTGGTTCCCATCTCCCTGGCGTGTTCCATCCTTCCCGCAGGAGATGCTTACTTATTTTATAAGTGCATTTACATATCTAACACTTTACAAACATACCACCTAATTTTAGTCCTTTCGTGATAGATAGAACTCTCACCTATCAAGATATTGTCAACTTTAGCCTAGCAGCATCACTGTTTTGCTCCGTGGGTATAATTTCCTTGAAGGTCACCCATCCTAGGAGTGCTCCAACACAATCACGCTTAACTTTGGGGTTATATCTAACTTTCATTGTTACACCAAAAGGAGCCTCGATATTTAAGAGTTTAGCTTTATTCTGTTCAAGGGATTTCACATTATCCCCCACTTATATACTCGACATCCTTGTTGGTTCTTTATAGCCATAATCATCCACCAGACGTATATGATTCTAGAGTTGGCCCCAAAAGATTCAAGAGGTGGCTCCAACCATGTAGCACTTTGTCCCATTGAGGGTTCAAAAGAAGGATATCACATGAAGGATATCATGCTTGCAAACAGTAGCCAAGCCCATTCGAAAAGAATAAGAAACCATTTCGTTGTTGTCTTGATGCTTAAACATATTCCACCTTTAATTAAATTTGAAAAAACAAATTCTTTTCACTTTTGATGATGATTATTTCTATCCATAAATGGATTATGGTAACAATGAATTTCCACAATGTCTTGATCTTGATGAGATGATGATGATCGATGATGGCATATTTGCATCATTTAAAAATAGAAAACTTTCCAAAAATTGAGAAGTTTCTAAAATATCATAATTACTATTCTTATTTTCTATCAGTCTTATTATGGGAGATGTGTAAATAAAGTCTTTATTTATTGTGTCGCTGGGAGGGCTCCTCAATAAGTGGCACCTAGGACATGCTTCTTTGAACTATTTTCATTAAAAATCAGTGAGAGGGCTCACTAATGAATAAGTTCCTAGAAGGACAAGTGTGTGGATATGATTTCCATGTATGAAGTCGAAAGAAGAGCTCCCTGATGAGTGACACAAGGTGACAAAAAATGTTAAATAAGAGTCTCACTAAGTCTCGGTGTAAGGGCTTACCAATGGGCAATCCTTTGAAAAGCAAGTTTATAAAGGTCTTGTCCGCCTAAACAACAAGACCTGAGAGCATCTAGTGTTGGGCAAGATCTTCACTAATGTTCTCAAAGGGGTTTATCAGTAAAGATGCCACCTGAGGGTATGTGAGCAAAAAACATGATCTCTATCTGTTTTAACTTTTTGAAAAATCTCACCAAGTATTGATCTTAGGAGGGGTAACAAATACTAGACAAGGACCTCGTAATTAGAAGTCCTAAAAAGGGCCACCATTGACAGAGCTCCCAAGAGAGCATGCAATGCAATAATAGGGTTTGCATCCTCTACAAAACTACAAAAGACACGGAGAAATGGTGGTCAAAATCATTCATAATCTATACCACCAAACCTGCTCATCAGCTATAAAAGTTCAAGTGAATTTTTGAAGCATGGCATCGCACAAAATATAAGATATATTTCCATGAAAAATTTCAATCCCAGTAAGTTTCCAAACAAATAGCTTGGAGGGATTCTGCCTCTCTTAACAGCCATACAAATCAAACGTTTGATCAACCTGGTGCATCTTTTGAAGAACTAATACAAGAAACTTTGCATACAAAAGTCATATCCTCCAGACGAAAAAGGTCACAACCATGGAAAAATAACTTATTCATGGCTTTGAGAGGATGGCTGCGGTGATCTCACTTGAGAAGGACAGGTAAGTTCTAGCCTCAACAATCAAAATTCACATAACTCAAATACTCGGCAAACAAAGCAAAAGGGTAGTTCAGACAATGTTCATCGGAAGTAGAACTGCAGAAAGAAAGCTTTTCCATACGTGCTTACTGAACTTCACTAGTTTAGCAATTCAAATAATCAAAACAAATTCAACGGTTGTATACCTGTGCTAATTGACATTCAATTTCTTGTGTGGTTTTGAGCAACTCACAAGCCGTCTTCAGCCGTGGCTTATCCTTGTATGCAATAACATTATAAGAAGCCTGCAAGACCAGAAAATAAAAACATTTTCATACATATTTTGTAGGGCACAACTACAACAAAAATACAAAGTCCATTCAGTGACCCAGAGGCGGCTTGTCAAAGTTTTTCCTGGTTTTGGAATCAACATTACTCCACCAAACTTTAAGAAAAGAAAGAAAAAGTAATGCCCTAAGTTGGGCTTGGGATAAGATGATAAGGTCTGATCTAGCTTCAGCTTGATCTAGAATCCAAATATAATTTAACTTACAGGTATATCAGAACTACTTGAAAATACAGAAAAAAAATGATGAACTAGAGAAACATAAATATTCAGTACAATAATCAAGGCAAATTTTAGGTCATGGCAAGTATGCCCAGATTGGGTGAAAAATTCTCTAATGTGAAAATCACATGCAGAACTCGCCCAAATTCTAGAAGCTAAACTGAATTGCGATAGACAACAAAGAAAAGCCGTAAGGCCCAAAACCAAAAAAAAAGTATTGAGAAATGGAAGCCAACCTGCTCTCGTTTCTTGAGCTCTTTAAAACCCATTTCAGCTATATCCTTGGGTGGAACTAACTTCATTTTTGGAAAAATTTTTGAAATACCCGTAAGAAGCTGTAGTAAAGGCCATGGAGGCAGAACATCTTCACCCATCTATAAAAAAGTACTCAACATTAAGAGGTAATCTTCGCATAAGAAAGTTCTATGGTGCTAGAAGCACAATCACCTTACACATGGGTGCAACTAGAACAGCACCATCCCACGCATGAGGTTGTTTAAAATGCACCTTGAGAGCAACTGCTCCACCCATAGATTGTCCAAACAGAAAACACGGCAGACTTTGGTATTTGGGATTTTCTGTCATTTCAAGTACAAGGAAATATCAAAGGGATGTAAGTATTTATGTATGAACATGTTCATAAAAAAACAGTGAAGCAAATAGTCATCATGTTTTGTGTGTTCATAGGTGTGCATGTGTGAAATTTTGCTTGCCTTTTCTGCAGATTATGTTTGCGCGTCTCTATCAGTGTAAATGTATGTGCAAGTACACACGTATGCATGTGGTCATGCATCCATAGCTGTGCGGTGTCTAATAGAAATTGACATTGGAATGAGATCATCATTAAAAACAGATAATGATCAAACGTGTATAAATGAAATCAACTGCTTGTATGATCAATTGAAGTATGCAATGAAAGTTAATAAATATTGATTTCATAAAAAAAATTCACCTGATTAAGCATGTACCTAAACACAATTTTCAAATCTCAAAACACCATAATATTTCAACTATAAATTATCATAATCAACTTTGAGGCCATCCCAATTCCATCTTCAACACTTTGTCAAATTAAAGGTCTCAATAAGATATACCAAATGGCACAAAAAATGCCTTGATCCAACTCCAATCACGGGAAAAAAAATTGAAAACAACACAACACATTTAAGTAGCCAATCAACATAAAATTTCCAAGTGCTTATAGCAAGTCTCTATATAAGTAAAACCAGGATCACTTAATTTTGTTATTTAAAATATAAATTAAAGTGCCTAATAAATATGAAATGATCAATCAATAAGGATAAACTTTGACTATCGGTTGGAGTGACCTGATTTTGGAAGGGATGACCAAAATGGCCCCTCCAAAAAATTATAAATATGCAATGCTTTGATATGTTCAAGGGGGAATCCCAAAAGAGACTCAAGCGAAAAAAATTCAAGGGCATAGAGTAGTTCATAGATCTTAACCATTAACACTGAACAGTAGCCATCAATGAACACTCATGCCCATTATCGACCAATGTCGACACATGTTAAAAATAAATGCCAAAATCCCATTTATACTCTTCATTGCCAAAAATCATGCCAATTGTAGCCTGTTTTATGTTAAGGTTGATGCCTATCATCAATCAACCCTATTGCATACCGCACTAAGCTGGATGCCCATCATCGACCAATGTTGATGCCAGCCCTCACCCAATGATAGCACTCAACATCGAACAATGTTGATGTTTGACGTCTAACAATCACCAACAACGTTACCCCCTAGTTATTGATTTTCCCTCCTATAAAGTGAATTAAAGAGCAAACCACTGACAATCACCTGACTATTGATGTCCAAATGCAAATATAATCCTATGTCTACCAATGCCCAATGGTTGTCATCCACCAACGTCTGAGTTACCATCTCCAGTTCAACAAGGAGAGAGGTTCATCAGAACATTAAATATCGTCTGATGCCTAATAATAATCAATACCTAAAGTTCATAAACTATAAACATTTGACTTCATGATCACTCAGAATCACCTAATATGAAAGTTAACCGACATAACTTTAATTATTGATCAAGCACAAATAAAAAAAGCACAAAACTAGCTATAAAAAGGGAACAAGAAAAATTACAAGTTTTACAAAACTGCGCTTTACAGCGTTCTCAAAAAGTTACAGCTGAATGCTGCATTTTCCCACCAGACCTGACTATCTGTGGTGACTTTTAGAAAGTTGTGGTCTAACTTTCTCAAAAATATATTTTTTTTTAATAGTCACCATAGTTTTTTTAATATCAGTTTCTTCTTCATAGCTGCTTCGTCAAACAGTTGAAGCTGCCCCAAACAGACCATAAGTTTAAATAAGGTCACATGTCAAACTCAAACTTATGACCACTACCATAATTTTTAAGAAGTATACAATTTGAACTAAGCTATTCATAATCCAAGTAGACTTCCATAAGAAAAGAAAATTTATCTTAACTTCTATCAATTTGTTAAGTTTTCTCATCCAACGAAAAAATTAGGACACTTTCCATTCATAATTTTCCCAATTCAATATCTTTGTACGTATCAATCTCATATATTTATCTATTTTGATAGCTCTTATAAAGTTTGGCTATTGTCTACATTTTTCTTAAACTTAATTTGTTCGTGACAAAAACTAAGTTTGAGTAGCTTCTTCTAGCTTTTAATAGAATGATTTTAGATTCTTTTAAAAAAGGAGAATTGTGTGAGGCTTGCCTCACCGCTGATATGCCAAAGATTAGATATAATTATATCCCAAGAGAAGCCGCTTAGACCTAATCATAGTGAAAAACTTCAAAAAAATGTATTAGGGACCAATGTAGCGCAAGACTTTTTAGGGTCTATTGTTCCCATGGTGCAACAATCATGCAATTTATATAATGGAACAAACTATTAAATCTTACATTAACTATTTATCAAACTAAATGAAGACTAAAAAAAGGATTTCGTCCATCAAATGGAATTTGATGACTAAAATTCTATCAACTTGAAATTAACGTAATTGGTTAAATTTCATGCAGAAAAAAATAAAATTCTAGTATGTTGGATTTGATAAAATTTCTTACACTTTTAACCAATGACTAGAAACAGAGGAAAGAAAAAGCAAGGGAAATGGAAGAAAGAGAAAGATGCCACCAAACCTGACGTTTGAATAAGAAGAAATCCTCACATATAAATCTCTAAGTTTCATGCTTAATCAAAGAATTTTATAACAAAAGAAGCCTAATGATTTGTATATTTTAAATAAATATTATAAATCCTAATATTTATAATATTCCTTAGCTACATATATCTATAAGCTGCATGGAATATCAAATAGGATAAGAAAATGCCCATGAAGCAATATAAGATGCCAACCCTATATGCAGAAGGAAGCCATCATGAAAGAGAAAAAGGGAAAATTTTGTTCATCATGAGAATTTTGGTTATTTAAAAAAAAATTTCAAAAGAGAGAAACTATTAAATAAGATTTGAAGCAATCTTTCCAATAATTCCTTGATATTTATATTACATTAACTAATCTAATCAAAATATATTTACATGGTTATTAGATTGCCATGTATAAAGTACAATATATTGTTATTAATATAAGGCATTATCAAATTAAGTTCATAAGATCTATTGGATTATTTTAAAAATATAGTAAAAATATTTTATTACAAGATCTAACCTATAAATAAAAGAAATGTGTATCATATTCTCTTGGACTAAATTTAAATTAATTTTTTTCTCACCGCCTCTCACTTATGGTTAAGCAATCTCTTTTCTTGCTCCAACCATGTAAGGAATTGCTCACAACGTCCTTCAGTTGAAATAAGCAAGAAGAACCACTTCTGTCCTCCAGATGAAATCTAATAGCAACTTCTATCTAGAAGAGATTCCTTAGACCGTATGAAAGCCTGTCTATTCAAACTCTGCTTTCATTGATCTAGAAAACCATATCACTCCCTAGCCATGCTTGAACTTAAAATACTCCACTAAATTTAAAATTCTCAAACAACCAATCTTTACATCCAAGGTTGGGTTAGACATCATTTGAGTCTGATTTGGATCAATTTGGTATTAATGCATTCAATTCTTTTTAGTAAAAAAAAATGAATATTTGCTGATAAAGTGGATGGCAATGGTTCGTGGATGAAGAAATATGCTCCCATATGGAGTACACCTAGTAAACAATCTTCATCCCATCCCAAACGATCTCAACATTGAAAAAAAATCGCAGGTGAAAACAGTTCCAATAGTCCTTGTCACACAAGACCAATAGTGTACCAAACAGGGAATATGGTGCAAGTAGAAAGTCATGGGAAGAGCAAGTCAAGAAAGTTTAAAAGGAATGCCAAAAAAGAGGAAATCTAAGAAAAATAGAATTAACTTAACTCTTGTTAAAAGCATTATGCATATGTTGATTTCTAACAGCACCAATCTTCCTTGATTCCAAAAAAAAGGTTCATCCTTACTGTATCCTTGGGCGTTCACACCAAAGTTCATTTTCTTAGAGCCCGTTTGGCATCATTTTATTTCTTATTCTTTTATAAAAAAACTTCTTTGATTGATATAATTTTTTAAATATTTTTATATTTGGCTTAAAAAATAAATTAAATGATTTTTAGAAAAAACACAAAATATCTAAAAAAATATTTTAATTGTTTTTTAAAAACAATTACCTCAATCAGCATGTTTTAATTCAAATCAAAATATAAACAAAAAAATTAAAAATAAAAAATCTAAAACAAAAAACAAAAAAGATATCAAACGGCCCATTAGGAAAGAAAATCTCGTCAACAAGGAGCAACACCACCTTTAAAAGCCATGGACTCTGTCAAACAAGTTATTGGCGGCCGAATGTTACTTGGGAACATTATCTCAAGACAATCGTGATATAAAAATACCACCTGCAGCAGCAACTTAACATTTCCAATGGACATAACTGAGGTTAAAACTATTAGACAAACAAAGATATTGAATACGGCGAAAGGGAATATGTTCATCTTCCAATTCAATTTTGATATACACAATCAAACTAATATTGCAATGACCATTATCAAGGAAGAGAAAGCATAAACATATCGATCATATGAGGGAGCTACACCAAAGCCATAAGGTAGCTACTACAAAACAATTCCAAAACAAAGAGCAGCATACAAAGCATATGGAATGGAGTCTTACTTAGTGAATATATTAGCATGAGAACCAAACCCTAGACCCTCCAAGACCAAAACAGGGCATAACGAAAATTTCAATCCACTTTGAAAGCAAGACACTTTCCAATGAAAAAAGAATCAAGGGATCAACTACCATTCTGAATAAAACCAGAAATTGAAGAGAAAATTTTATTTCTTCTTAATGATTCAATTCAAGGTGCATTTACATATAGGAGTTTCTCCTCCTTAGATAAGGAAACTAACTAAATAAATTCAAGGAAATTCCAATTACATTCCCAGACTAATTAAGCAAGATAAAAATAAGGAAGGAGAATAATGTCTGTAGAAAAGGAAAGACAATAAATATTGAAATTTGAATTTTGAATTTTGAATTAATTCTTTCAACACTCCCCCTCAAGTTG